TGCTGAACCAACGCTTCCACCCACCCTGGCCTACTGCTAGGTAATGACTGGTTGGGTTGTCCACTCTATGTGGTTGAAGCCATCTGAACAGATGGTTCTCAGGCCTCTTTGAAGGTCTTGAAAACATAACAAAGCCCTGGTCCCAGCCCAGACTGATGAATTCAGGGCCTTCAGGGGGGCCAGGCACTACAACGTTCGAGTTCTCTGATGGCTTTCGTGTGTAGCCAGGGGTGAGCACGCTACCCTCCACCAGTGAGGACATGGCCGCTCTGGGGCCCACGCTAGGGGAGGCGAAGGGTCAGTGTGACCGCCGAGTCGTTTTGTTTCTGATGTCTGGGGTGTGACTGTTTGTTTTGTTCTCTTTTGTTTTGCTATAGGGCAGGTGCTCTCACCGAGAGATGGAGAGAGAGAGAGAGGGAAAGTGAGAACTCACCCACCTGGGGGAAAGGCCACTTTGAAATCCCTTCTCTTAGGATTTTGGCCAAGCATGCACATACGCGTTTTTCAAGCCGTCGGGTCTGAGACTCGAACTGTGCAGTTGGCCTTGTGGGATCCAGCTACGCTACCTGCTGGCCCTGGGGTGTTACTTTTAACAGGAGCAGTCACAGTCTTGTTAATTACGAAAAGAGCCTGGGACTGGAACCAAGAGACTCAGACTCAAGCCCCTCTCCTCCTCTCTCAGGCCCTGACTTCCCATCTGTTTCCTGGCAGGGTGGACTAGAGCGTGCCCTCTGGCCCTCCTGTCCTGGCTGGGCCCCCGTGCAGCCTGGTGGGCCACAATCCCCCACTGACCCAGGCCTGGCTTCCTGTCCCTTCCCAGCTTCCGTGTGGCTGAGGACCCTTTCAGGTCTGGGTTGGCCCAGGACTGCCTTCAGTGGGGTGGGGAGGGGGCACTGCTTAGTGACAGTGACCCCCTGAGTTTCTCCAGAGCTGAGGTCTGGTTTGGCCCACCCACCTGGTGCAAGCCAGGAGCTCAGTCCAACCTAATAGGAAGCACTGATGCCCGTGCCTGGCTGGCATCATGGAGCCCCCGTCTGAAGGTGCCTGCTAGGTGCCAGGGAGCAGGGAGGAGAAACAGCGGACAGAGACCTGGGTCCGCCAGAGATCATGCTCTAAGGTCCAGGCTGCTGCCAGGTGCTGTGTGACCCGGGCCAGGCAGTTCCCACTGCAGAAGGGGAAGTTGGGGCTAGAGGTTTCCAAGGGCTCTTCCATCCTGAAGAGTCCACAACCTTGCAAGATGTTGGGCTTAGCTCAACACCACTTAGTTCCAAATCCCCTGTCCCTAGGGACCACCCACGGCTACCTCTGCAGGTCCCCCATTTATAAAAGCATGCTCATAGGGGAACAGGGTCCCAGGCAGGAGTGGGTGAATCTCGGGTCTGGATGTCGCCCTCTGGGCCTGGTTTCTGTTCTGCCACTTCCTAGTGTGTGACCTTGGGTAAGCCACTTCCCCCTTCTGGGCCCTGGTTCCTTCATCGGTGGAAATGGGAATGAGACAAGTGGGTGCTCCATGGCCGAAGAGCAGTGAGTCCACGCCTGCATGGGCAGCTTCTGAGGGGAACGCAGTTACGTCATGGGGCCTCGGGCCCTCATGTCCAGCAGGGCTCCCGACCACCTGGCATGGACTGTCAGAGGCTCTGAGGCAGCACTTGGCTACATGCCCTCTCCCTGAGCACTCCAGGGACAAAGGCAGCCAGGTGATGGTCCCCCGGCGTCACAGCTAATTCCAGGCCCTCCCGAGCCTCTCCCACAGGCTGGACTGATTTGTCAATTGAGCCACAGCCCTGAGAGGTAAGACATTCTTCACTGACTAGTTATTTTACAGTCCGGCCTCTTCTGAAAGGAACTCAGTCCTACGGTATCAGTTCCATTTTACAGAGGAGGCAGTTAAGGCTCAGAGAGCGGGAGGGCTTGCCGAGGACAGACAGCTGGAAGGGAGATTCGAAGCCTGATCTTCACTCCTGTTCCAGGGACCCTGACCCGAGCACCTGACACACCCAAGGGCTCCATGCAACCTCATCTCCCTGCAGCTGGCCACCGTGCCCCCTGCCTACCTCTTCGCCCATCAGGAGGAAGGCACAGACACGAGGGGGCAGAGTGGCTTGAGCTTACCCGGATCTCAGAGAGAAGGGCTCAGCCTTCGAGAGAGCAGATCCCGACCCCGCTGCGGGCTCCGCCCTGAGGTCCTAGGCCTCTGTGGGTTGTTAGGTGAGCTCCCAGCATCAGTTCCCGTGTAACTGTGAGCCCTAGTAAGTCGCCATTCTTGTGAGGTTGGCGGGGAAATGCAAAGGGGTCCTGGAGCACAGGCTGAGCTGTGGCCTGGCCGCTGGTGAGCTGGGTACTTGGGACGCTGGTGTGCTTGCGGGCTACCGATGCTGCTGGGGAGGCTGTGGTGGGGCGGCGGGGCTGGGGCAGTGCGGACAGCTTCCCTGCATGGGTGGAGTCACTAGGCCTTAGCATGGGGGAGGTGAGTTATGCAGCAGCCCGTAGCAGGCAGTGACCTCGGGTGACACCCTGCTT